CAGTTTGACCATGCGAATTGAAGGCATGTGAAAGATAACTGGACATACGCCAGTAGTTAGCTCTGAAATTCAAGGGAGAGGTCTGAGCAGGAGAGGAGTATTTAGAAATAATATATGTTGGACTGAGACCAGAGGAAAGCTGAGGACAGGACCTCAGGCAACAGCTATTTAAAGGGCAGGTGGAAAGAAGAAACTATTTTCAAAACTGAAAATATATCCTTGAAGCTAAGATACAGAGAGTATCCAGAACACACGAGAGGTTAACTTGTCAAAGGGCCACCAAGTGTCTGAAGCTCCCAAGTAGTGTCACTCTGACTCACTGGCTTGAGTCGGGCCTCAGAATCATAGACTGCCTTCCTATCAAACCTATTCCTGTAGGAACAGCCCCAGATCCAAGGAGCTGTAGTACCTGTGTATGATTGAACCTGTCCTACGCTCCACATAATGCTGTTCTAAGGATTGGATAAGATTATATATGTCCACGGTTCTTAAAATTTTTGGCTTCAGGACATTTTTGTACTCTTAGAATTTTTCAAGAACTAAAAAAAAAAAAGCCTTTATTTGCATGTGTTTTACATCTATATATGTGTGTCAACATTTACCACATCCTAAGTCAAAACTGAGAAATTAAAAAAAACTCACTTAAAATTAAACATAAACCCTTATATGTTAACATAAACAACTTATTTCACCAAACAACACTATTTTCTCAAAAACAACTTAGAGAAAAGAGTAGAATAATTTTATAGACTTGCAAATCTCTTGACTGCCTGGCTTACTAGAGACGGTAAATTCTCTCATCTATGTATGCAAATCAGTTATGTCATACACATCATGAAACCCTCAGAAAATTTTACTGCACTCTCGTGAGAAAATGAGAGTTTACAGGGGTAAATAACTTTTTCATATTATTATAAAAATAGTTTTGTCCTTGAGGACTGCTATGGTTTTAATATGGTCCCCTAACTTAGTCCCCAAATTCAGATACTATTAATGTTATTTGCAGATAGAATATTCGGGAGATGATTGGGGTTACATCAGGTCATGAACACAGGACCCTCGTGATGGCATTAGCAGCTTCTTAGGAAGAGGAAAAGGGATCAAGCTAGCATGCTTTCTCTGCCTCGCCATGTGGTACACTCTGCCATATTGTGATGCAGCAAGAAGGGCCTTATCAGATGCCAAGTGTGTGGCCTCACCATGCTCTTGGCCTCCAGAATGTGAGCTAAATAAGCCTCTGTTCTTCATACATTATGCACTTTGTGGTGCTCAGTGGTAGTAACAGCTAATGGACTAAGACAAAGATGTCTGAAAGCATCTGAAGGATGCTCTGCGATGCCCAGACCCCATCTTGCATAACAGCTAAAAAGTCTATTAAAAAGTGCTGTGGCCAGTCTTGATAATGCATGACTATAATCCCATCTAGTCTGGACGCCGAAGCAAGAGGATTGCAAGTCTGAGGCCGGCCAGGGTAACTTAACAAGACCTTGTCTGAAAACATAAACAAACAAAATAAACAAGGCCAGAAGTATAGCTCAGATCTCCTTGGCTTCAATCCCTAGTTCTGAAAAGAAAGCGTGATCATCTAGAGTATATGAAGATATGTACTCAGAAAGGGACTCAGAAAGGGATCTCTTTAATATGGCTACATTTGCCTTCAGAGTTGCATTGCATGTGAGTATCATTGGTTCACATAAATCCAATTGAGGTGTTGACTAGGTGTTGTGGTTCATGGCTGCTGCCCAGAATCACAAGACAGTGTTCTACAGCAAATCACTAGATAGAGAAAGATCAAAATTTGAACTGTTGTTTCTATTGAATATGTGTTGCTTTCGTACCATCGTAAAGGTGAAAATTTGTAAGTTGAACCATCAGAAGTCTAGGACCACCTGTATGTAGATCATTTTAAGTTAAAAAAAATCCTGTTATCACCACATGAACCAATAAGAAAATAACACATACACACATGCATGCTTGCACATAGAGCAAGGGAATATTTTATGCCAGAAAATATCTATTTCACACAAAGGAAGCAGTAATGAAGGAAAAGAACAAATAATATGTAAGAAATATACATAAGGCCCACAGTAAAAATAACAAAATGGATAATGAAAACCTACATACCAGTAATTACTTAAATGTAAATACACTAAACTCCAACCAAAACAACAATTACCAAGTAGATTTTGAAAAACCTTAATTCAACTATATGCTGTCGATAAGATAGTATAGATTCAAAAACATGGATAGGGTAAAGTAAAAGTATAGAAAAACACACAGCATAAAAATAGCGCGCAGAAGAGAGCTGGAACCAGATGTACTGGCACATGCCTGTAATCCCAGCACTTGGGAGGCTGAGGCAGGAGGACAGCTGTGAGTTCGAGGCCAGCCTGGGCTACATAGCAAGACCCTATCTCAAAACACACACACACACACACACACACACACACACACACACACACACACAGAAGAGAGCTGAGTAGCTATTCTGATGTGAGACAAAATAGACTTTGAGAAAAAAAAGTGTGAATAGACAAATATATTTTATAATAAAATAATCAATGATTTGAAAAACATAATTATAAACACACATGGATCAGATAATAGAGGCCCAAAATATATAAGGCAAAATTGAAAGGAGAGGACCAGGTATTTAGCTCAGTGTATCCACTGCCTTTCTCACAAGCACAAGGTCCCAAGTTCGATCCCTGGTACAAAAAAAAAAGAAAAATAAGCCATTTAATAATAACAGGGAGAAACTTCAGTTCCCACTTTCAATAACTGATAAAACAAGTAGACAGAAGATTAATGAGGAAATCAAGAACTTGGAATACTATAACCCAATTAGACTTAAAAGACATCTGTAAGATATGCTAACAGCAGAATAAACATTCTCTTGTTTATGCTTTCTCTGACTATAATAAAATGAAGTTGGAAATCAATAACAGAAAGAAATTAAGGAAAGTCATCAAGTGTGCAAAAATTGAAAAACACTTCTAATTAGCCAATGGGTCAAAAGAGTAACAACAAAAACTTTAGAAATACTTTGAGATGAATGAAAATAAAAATGCAACGTAGAGAATCTTGTGACTGGAACTAAAACAGTGTTCAGAGGAAAATTCATAAACATTTATTAAGAAAGAAGAAAGATCTCAAGTTAAAGGAAGAAAATAATAAAAACTAGAGGGAAATTAATGGAATATAGAAGAGAAAAACATCAGAGATCAATCAATGAACCCAAAAGTTGGTTCTCTGAAAATATCAACTAAATTCATCTTTACCTAGCCTAACCAAAGAAACAAAAAAAAGAGAAGAACTTAAGTTATTGAAATTAAGAATTAAAGAACAGACATCACTACCAATCTTACAGAAATACAAGGGATCATGAGGGAATAATACCATGAACGACTGCGTGCCAATGAATTAGGTAAAACAGATGAAATAAATTCATAGAAAGTTAGAAAATACTGGAACTGTCTCAAAAGAAAGAATCTAGACCGATTTTTAATCAAAGATTGAATTATTAATCAAAATACATCTCCCACACCCCATTTCACAGATGGCTTCCCTGGTGAATTATAACAAATGTTTAAATAATTAACACAAATCATTCACACACTCTTCCAAAAGAAAAGAAGAAGGAACCCCTCACAACTCATTGCATGAAGCCAGGAATATACTGATAGCAAAACCAAAGCTATCACAATAAGACGATTAGACCAATATCACTTATTAATATAGACACAGATAATGCCCAATTTACCATGGTTTGACATAACTCTTCGCTTTTACAATGATGTGACCGCAACATTTATTCTACCAATATGCAATTTAATAGAGTTTGTACTAAACCATACTTTGAATTTTGCAGTTTGATCTTTTGCCCATTCTCCCAATGTGCAGTATGATACTCTATCATGAAGCTGGGCAGTAGCAGTGAGCCATAGCTCCCCATTAGTCACATGATAGAGAGAATACACATCCAGTATGCTACAGTATACTGTGTTGTTAAGCTAAGCTGTTTGGCAAGTTCGGTATGTTAAGTGCATTTTTTACTTAAGATGTTTTTCACTATAAGGCATTTAACAGGACATAACTCTATTGTAAGTTGAGAAGCATCTGTACAGTCTGAAGAAAAACCCAGCAAGCTAAATCTGCAACATAAAAAGTGCCGATCACATGATTAAATGGGATTTGACATGTTCCTGCTGGCTGGAATCGCTGATGGTACGTGCATGACTGTCCCATGGGGCAGCATGTACCACTGGTGTTTAGTTAAATAACAAACAATCTAATTCAAACAGCTGCCCAGCAGTGAGACAAACAAATGACGGCCCCATTGTGAATATGTTAATCTCAAGGAAAAAAAAAAAGCTCAACGCAAAAACCAACTAATGTTATAGATCATATCAATGGCACAATTGACAAAAAGTATGTAATCACTTCAATAGATGTAGAAAAAGCATCTGAAAAAAGATCCAACAGATTTTTGTGATAAAAGTAATCCACTAGAAAGAAATAGAAAGGAACGTAACGTCCTTCATGTAATCAAAGCAAAACAAACAACAAACAACCATGGCTAACATCAGCTTAGTTACCTACTTAGCAGTAAGATACTGAAAGTTTTCTCTCCGTCATCTTTGACAAGGTAACTGCTTTCATCACTTCTATTCAATATTGTGTGGGAGGCAGTATTGGACTAGGATAATTAGACAAGACAGAAGGCATCCATATAAAGGAAAGAAATAAATAAAACTATCTTTATCTGAAGATGATATGATCTTATATATAAAAATAAATTCTAAGGAACCCACTATAAATTTTACTACTAATAAATGAACTTAGTGAAGTTGCAGAAGAGAAGGTCAGGATACAAAAATCAATTATGTTTTTATATACCTGGAACGAATAACCAAGATATGTGACCCCACTTCCCAAGCAAGGGTGCCATCATCCACAAACTCCAAGCCAGCTCTGCATTTTGTTTCCCTTTGGCACAGGGCAGCAGAGGTGAGGACTAACCAACTGACCTGATCCTGGATGAGGACACCCAGCAGCAGAAGTGAGCAATCAAACCTTGTAACTATTGGCATTAAGTCCAACAGTGCCCTCGAACTTCTGCTTTGTGGTCTGCAGCAGCAGAAACAATTCCAGCAGCAGGTAATTCAATTCATGTTTCCTGTTACCAATGGGAGCAAGGACACACTTTGGATTGGATGATAAGCACAGTCCAGGGTGCATGGACAGAGAGGCTTCTGGTGAGGGAGGGCACCTCAAAAACCCCTAGGCCCTAAAGCTAGATAGAGAAAGTTCATGACTGGCAGGACCCCAAGACTGCAGATCTTAGAAAGAATCCATGCATTCAAAAGCACAAAAATGATTATCCTTGACTCAATCTTCTTTCTCCTATTTTTTATTACTTTTATCTTTCATTTATCATGTTTTTTGTGTTTATTGTTCTTCCTTTTTTCCCTCTATTACTTTATTTTTTTCTCCTTCTTTCCTTTCAACTTTTTTCTCTTCCTTTTTCTCTTTCATTTTCCTAGCTTTCACTCTCTCTTTGCTTTTTTCTTCCTTTTCTTGTTCATTCTCTCCAGTGACTGTTCTCTAACATTATTCACTTCCCTTGAGGAAATTAGGATCCCTATCTTACTTTGTTCTCCTCCTTTTCATATGCCATTGGTTAGGCTTTCGAAGTTTTGCTTTTTTGTTCTCTAGTTCCACAACCTACCCCACCTTTACTAGTATAACTAGTAATCTTTACACACATCTAGATAGCTAGTTAACTTTATGCTATTATTATTGAATACTGTTCTATTGTTAGTAGAGGCAAAGTTTTTAATTTGGTGGATATTTATTGCAGGTCAAACATTTGCTTTGTCTCAATGGCCATACTATAATTATAGGTCTCTTTTCTGTGGTTAAACGTGGTAGATTATTTGTTCTTTGGGTTTGTAAATATTGTTTTCAGTTGATGCTATAAATGGTGCTGATTTTATTACTATAGCCAAGGTGAAAGAGCTGTTGCTATTAATCGGTTTTCTCAGAATGCCAATATCTGGATTGCCTTGGGGTCATTAACAATACTGTGGCCCATTCCTAGAGAACTGGTTACTGATTGAATATGCTGCAACCTTCTATCCCAAGAAAATGGAGGTGGTTGGATTCCGGGACAGTGGCAAAGGCCAATAGTTAGCCAGAGGACATGACTGAAAAATAGACATTACCTAAAAGGTCTCAATAATATAAACAAAGGTTTCCACTACAATCAACCCACAAGCCTCAGAAAACAAACAAGCAAAAAATAGAAACGTGAGAAAACAAACACACAAAATATTTGCAAAAATCTTCAACTCCCCCAAAGCAGATCCATGGGACATCAAACAGGGAAGAAACCAAAAGCCACACTAAAGAATTATTTGATATAATATCAGGAGAACTAACAAAAATAGATCAATAAGGAATTTAGCAAGCTCACAGAATATATCCATAAACAGATATTGGGCTAAATAAACAAAACAATGGATGAGTCTACAGACAACACTAATAAAAAGCTAGCAGAGTTAAACAAAATGATGCAAAATCATGAATGATCAGCATAAAGAAGACTCAGAGTCCATAAAAAGGCTCTGAATAGAAATTTAAGATATTAAAAATTCCATCAAAAGTACAGCAGAAGTGACCCATATGAGGACAGAATGTCAGAACTAGAAAAGCAGAGTTTTTGTCAGTGACCAGTGATTGAGAGATACCTTAAAAACAAGAGAACATGAAAAATGGATCCAACAGCTCTTAGATGATGCAAAGAAGGCCAATTTAAGATTAATTGGAATAAGTGAAAAATAAGAAGACAGCACAAATGGTATTAAATACCTGTTTACTGAAATAATAAAAGAAAAATTTGTAAATAAAACTTTCTAAACAGAAAACTTTCTAAAAGAATTGAGCATACAGATAAATGAGGCACATAAAATCCCAGCAGCCACAATAAAAAAGAACCTCTCCACAATACATCATAGCCCAAATCACAGAAATTCAATAGAAGAACAGAATTTTAAAAGCAGACAGAGCAAGCAATAAATCATTTATGAAAGTAAAACCATTAGAATTACAGTAGGGTTCTCAATACTAACATTAAGGGACAGCAGTGCTTGGAGTGAAATGCTGCAAGCACTAAGAGAAAACAATTTCTAACTAAGGGTGATATATTCTACAAAACTATCTGTCTAAATTGGTGGAGAAATAAGATATTTCCATGATAAAGAGTACCTAAAGAAATTCATGACCACCAAACCAGCACTCTAAAAAATTCTCAAAGATATCTTAGAAAGAAACAATGAATCTAACAATCACAGAAGGGCTAACAGAATCAATACACCATGAAGAGCGAGCAGATAAGTAGAAGAGAAAGACAGGGAATCAGCAACAGGAAAATAGCACAATGACAGGAATAAATGAATAGCTATCATAATAATTCTCCATGTGAGTGCTCCCATTTTCTGAATCCAAAGATATAGACTGGCAAAATAGATCCAGAAACAAAATTCAATACATTTAACCAACAAGAAACTCATAGACTAAAATCAAAGGAAGGAAAACATTATTCCATTCAATGAGAACCTGAAAAACAGCAGGTGTAGCTATCTTGTATTCAGAGAAAGTGGACTTAAAGCAGACTGAACGAAAGAGGCCAAGAAGTTTGCTACACATTGGTTAATGGAACAGTAAAACAGGAAGTTATAAGAATTAATAACATATATCCACTGAACGATGGGTCACCCAATTTCATGAAACAAGTACTACTGCACATAAAGACCAGATAAACATAGACACTATCTTATGGCTGTGTCTAAATGTCCCTCCAAAGCCTCGTGCAGTCATGGGGATTTTTTTTTAAACTTGTGTTTTATTTCACACCAACCTCATTTCCATTTTGCTTCAGTGTCTGCGGAATAAACAGCTCAAGACCACTCAGTAGTGGTTCCTACCCACTCAGTGGCCTGAGCAGTGAGGGCTGCAGACCAGTCTTCTGTGGCCAGTTGAGCATTCCAGTCTTCTGTAGAGAACTGCTGGATGGGCACAGAGGCACTGCACACCCTCAGAACAGTCTGCAACCTCAGGCTGAGCAGCAGTGAACTCCGGAGCTTGTGCAGTCCATTCACCCTGAAATTACTCCTTGGTCACAACTTTTTCAGGAGCAGCCTGCTCTTCTTTTTCAATCTCTTCAGGATCCCTTTAGAAGTACAGATCAGGCATGACCTCCCATGGGGAACTTTTCAGGGGTGGCTGGGTCTGGAGTGTGGTGCTGGGATCAAGGGTGTGTGATTACTAAATCAGCCCACTGACTGGTTTGGCATAGTTCTGGCTAGGATTAAGGGTGTGAGTGCAATACCTATCCCAGGATGGTAGCCTGCACAAAATATCAGGGACAGAAAGAGGGCTAATGTACTCTCCCCTGCTTGTTTGCTGTGGATTATTTCTCCTCTGTGATGCCCCTCTGCCGTGTCACACTGCCTTGGCACCAGCAGATTATAGACTGAAACCTCTACAAACTGTGAGCCAAATAAGCCTTTCCTCCTTATTTTTTCTCAGCAACAAAAAGAGTCATTAAGACATACTATCATATCCCACTATCACAAATGGACTGATCAACTAGGCAAAAAAATAAACTAATATCAAAGTTGACCACTCAACAAAACAGAATAGATATGCTTCTGAGAAACACATGGGTCTTTCTCCACAATAGATTACACAATAGCCAATAAACCAAGCTTAAGTACATGTAAAAATAATTGAAATTATATCGTGCATATTATCAGATAGTAGGGCAATGAAACTAGAAATCAATGACAAAAGAAATCCCAGAAATTATGCAAGTTCATGAAAACTAAACAATACACTCTTAGATAAACAATGAGTTACAAAAGAAATCAAGGAAAAAATAAGATAGCTTCTAGAACTAAATGATAATGTCAGTACAACATACCAGAGCTAATAGGACACAGTGAAAGCTGGCTTAAGAGGGAAGTTTACAGCTGTGAATGCCCGTATCACAGAAACAGAATGAAGATCCTGGGGGGAAAAAAAAAGAATAATCTAAACCCGAAGCTACAATGGAGAAAATTATGAAGATCAGAGCAGAAATCCGTGAAATTGAAACCATGAAAACAATACAAAGAATCAATGAATTACAGTTGGTTCTTAAATAAATAAATAAATAAATAAATAAATAAACAAAATAGACAAACTCTTAGCCAATCTAACAAAAAAAGAGAAAAAACCCAAATCAATTAGAAATCAAAAAATGAAATCTCAATGGAAACTGTCAAATAAAAAAGATAATCAACAAGTAGTTTGCAAACCTATATAAAATAAATTGGAGAATTCAGAAGAAATGGATGGATTCCTAGGTACATAGGAACTATCAAAGCAAAACTAACAAGATTGAAAGACCCTGAATAATCCAATGACAGGAAGCAGTAAGAAAGGAAACTATCAACTAAGAAAAACCCAGATCTGCAGCTATCCCTCTGCTGGGTATCTTTCCAGAAGAATTAAGACAATCATACCACAGTGAAATATGTGCACCCATGTTTATAGAGGCAGTTTGTAGCAGGTAAAACTTGGAAACAACCCAAATGCCCATCAAGTGGAGAATGGATAAAGATGTGGTTTTTCTATAAAATGGAGTACTACTCAGCCATAAAGGATGAGAAACTAGAAACATTTATAGCTAAATGGATGTATATTGACGCTATACTCTTAAGTGAAATAAATAGGGCACAAGTGAGTAAATACCGAATAGTTTCTCTGGTGTGAAAAACTAAAAATGTAAATAAGATTCAAATGGTATATTTGAGAGTGTAAAAGAGGAAGAAAATAGCTAAAGGGGAGGGAAAGGAAATAAAGGAAAAGAAAAAAATGTGAAAAAAAGGAAAAAAATGGAAACAAAGTCTTTATAAATAGGGAAGTATGAAGGAGGTGAAGGGAGGGCAGGGGTATGGGGAAAAAAAGAAACCAAGACATATCATGTAAAGGTACAAGATCCCAATGATAAATGCAACTTCATTGTTTGCTTTAAATGTACCAATAAACTTAAATGGGGGGAAAAAGAGAAAAGAAAAACCTAGGTCTGAATAGATTCACTGCTGAATTCTACA